GTGTAACTTCACTTGTTGTTTTAAGCTCGTTCTAGAATACAGGGAAGTGAAATGCCAATCCGAAACAAAACAATGGAATTTCGAAATACCGAACCTTAAGCTCCTTACTCCGAAACATGACATGTTATTCTCCTTAACCTAGAAATTTAATTAGCACACTTCATCGTTGAAACAGAAATATTGAAATGTTTGCATTCTATAGCTTGCGTTGAAAAAATCTGTACCTTATTAACTAACTTAATAGTTCGCTTGCTGGAAAGCTTTTTATAACCAAAGATTAAAGTTTCGTTAGAAAAAGCAATCAGTGAAAGATTTTTTACGAAGAATTTCATAATTTATTTCAGCATTAATTACTTAACTTGGCTATATTTAGTGATCCCTGAATGAACTAAATTAAAAAGAAATAAGACAAACTCGCTTAGAAAAGAAATCATACATTTAAATATGCTATGAAATAAACCATAGACACATACCTTGATTTTTTAGAGTAATATAGAATCAGCAGTCTAGACGTAACTTATTCAATAATGTGTCAAAAAGGCAAAAAACACACACAAACGAGGAGTATTAATTAAAATTTTAATCAATTTAATGTTCGTTTAGGCGTTTGATGTGGGGAAAACAGGATTTGGAAACCCGTACTGGATAAATTCCCCTAAGGGCAAACAAAGCTTCGACTTTATGAGCTTTTTATTTTGCTTTAGCAGACAAATTATTGATGAGATCAAGTCAATAAAGCGACATTATACGTCGCGAATGGTTTTAATTGGACAACATAATTTCTTTTATATTTTAGAAAAATAACATTCGACAAGGCATTTATCGCACATCCTTTATTCATAAAATAAAGGTTGTGCAAATTATTTAATGCGTTTTCAATATAGAGTTATTGTTCCATTACACAAGTTATGTACCCCCTGTATACTCATGATAGCTCTTGTTAAAAATAATAATTTAGATGAAAAAGTTTTTGTACAAGTATTGCGCAGTGAAAATTCACGGTAAACTTCAGAATATTATCTAGTGTTGCTTTCAATGATTGTTTTATATCATTAAAAACAACACTCAATACTTTTAAGAAGTGCACTACTCGGATCATATTTCTCGAACTCGGTCTAATGGCATTTTCTAAAGTAACGTCCGACAAACTATTGCTTGAAGCAAAAAGTATGAACAGAGACTTGCTAATTTCATATGTATTTAATACGAGCAAACTATACTAAATGATCAATAAAGGTCTCTGAGTACTGAACAGTTATACATAACTTGTCTAAGATAATATCTTAAGCTTATTAAATTTAATAATTTTTACTTAGCTCTATAATATTTTAACATTTCAACAAAAATTATTGAGCACGCCACGTAGCCGGGGGATAATGCTAGTTTATGGGCCACAGCGCAACAGTGCGTGAGTTTATAACCTGTAATAAATAATACGATTCGAGATTCGGTCGGCATGTGAAAGGTGTTATTTATTTGCACGAATGGCTTACCTATGTATTCTATAACATATATCTATAGTGCTGGCGAATGATTAATGAGTTTTAGTAGACTAGGATAGAAGCTCCGAGGTGTAATGACTTCGACTAGTTACATCGTAAACATTAATTATGTCGTTATCCACTCTAAGCTTACGGGTGTATTGGGAACAGTTTATGACGGTGCTGTGCAATGATGAGTTAACGCCGTGTCTAATTGCGCAATGATTTCCGGAGTTTGCTCAGCATTTATGTATAGATAATGAATTTGCTTAGTAGGATGATTTGGAAATTAGATAGGTGATATAGGTGACCAAAGAAAGTATGAATGTATTTGTGTGAAAGAGGATAAATAGATGATGAATATACGACAACTGATAGAGATGTACAAAGTAGGACATGTAAATGATAATAGTGATAGTTGTTGTAGGTCTTTTTATAATAATAAAGAAGTGCAGATCCCATTTGGATGTTTATGTTTAATCTCGTACATAAAAAGCCTATATTACACATGTTAATACACGAACTATTGCATACCAGGACCTATGAAATCGACTGATAGAACACAATATGTCCAAACTTTAATTTATTTTAGTTGACAAAGTGAGAAAACGTATATCAAAGGTAGTAAAAAATAATCCAATAAATAGAAAAACAAGATCGATCGGAAAAAAATCGACATCTTTCCCACAGGGGATTGATAAAGAAGCGTCTGCTAAACATCGAAGTGACGAAGTAAACTTGAGCAAAGTAGGTACATTATCTAAACACGTGATTTATACAGCGGACTATCGTTCACACAGCGACCGGACGTAGCCCCCGCTTCCTGCCCGGGCCGGGGCCCCAAACAAACATATCGGGTTCGGTTAATCGGTTGAACATAAGCGTGATGCTTCCACCAACTCCCGCAGAACTTTATCCAACATATTCCTATTTTATCATCAAGATTATAGACAAATATAATATAATACTTACATGTACTGATGTCTGTTCTATATAAATTACTTATTGATATTGATAAGAATAATTGTTTACAGCGTAGTGCGTTTATATCTTAGCAGTTTTTTTGTTTTTACCAACTTTGTGAATAAAAATTTAGAACAGTTGGTAAGTTGTATGATTATATTATTTTATTAAATAATACAAATATCATAAAAAGTAAACATAGATATTTATAAGTATTTTACGTGATTTTAAAAAATACAAATCTCTGCATAACTGTTTGGTTCATGGGCTATCTATATTTAGCTACTTAATTATTTGTTCACTCACGTAGAGACTTATTTTGCGTCATAAATTTTCCTTTATCGTCATAGTTTGTGATGATAAAGTTGAAACGGTTTTTTAATTGCGTAAAATTATAATATTTACGCTTAGATTAGAGTGTCTTGACAAACATTACTTTCCAAATCTATGGAAACATATATCTGAGTCGATGTGGTATCATTTAAGGTCAAAAGCTAATTATTCAAATTAGGTTAATTTGTCATAGAAACAAGAATATTTTGGTAACTTACAGCTATTATAGTGACAGTGTTCAAGAGAATCGATACTTGGTGGTAGGCGAATTTTATTCTTTAACTGATGACCTATCACGAATATTTGCGATAAGTTTTGTAACGTAATCGAGAAAATATTATATCACAATTTGTATGAGATTAGTTTACTTAATTTTGATTTTAATTTGTTTGTTTTTCCAACTTTGTTGCTAACATTATGAACACTTTCTCGCAAATTTTTGAGTTACGCTCAATGTACCTAAAAATTAACTATAACAATATATAGGTCAACATAACTGTCTCAATGTTAAAAATAAATGCGCATCGTTTAATTTATATCTCATCCCATTTTCAATCTCTACAGTTCATGGTTAAGAGGTACTCAATTATGCACTCAAGCGTCCCTGTAGCGAGCCTCTTACGTTGGG